AATAGAGATTCAGCAGCCTGCCAAATGGTTAAAATGCTGGGCTTTTATGTGGGAGACCCGGGTTCAAAGCCTCGGTAAGACTGGGGATTTTTTATGTCAGGGGCAAAATTCAAAATCTTCACCGACACAGTCATGGTGACAGCACTAACCAGGCGGCCTTAAATTTTCAGGCTCAAAGACCCCTCTGCCTACACCACAGAAGTGGTATATAAAGGCAGTAATTGGCAACAGAGACTCTGAAGTTTATTAAAAGTAAAAAAAAAAAAAAAAAGTAAAGGTCCCTTGTCTCCGCCTTTAGGCATATAGGGCTAGACCTATATTTTTAAAGACCAATCAGCACAAGATGGGTGATGTGATCAGCATGACCCCGGGCGCCTTTACTTTCCGGGACTGCAGCCGGTACCCACTCAAGGCTGGGTCAACCTGGGAGTCAAGGTTATTTTTTAAAGTCCAGCTCCGCCAGGGAGTGAACCCACGACCTTCCGATCCACACGCGAGCATCTAGCAGATACGCCACGGCGACTCCCCTGAAGTTTATTAGTAGTTAAAAAAAAAAAACTATGCACGAATTGCTGTCTTAGAAACTCAAAGATATAATTTTTCAAAATGAAAAACTTCACAAAGAATATCCAAAGGCAGAGATAAAATAAACGTCCATGGCACAAAGACAGAGCACTCAAAAAACTTGAAGTAAAACAAAGCATCATTTCAGAGGTTCCAGAAAGTTAGCACAATTTGTATAATGATGTACTACTGGATATTTTCTCTAGGATATGTCAGTGTTTTGGACAATAGACAAGCAGATAGATTAGCTGCACCTGCACCAATTGGTGGTAAACTGATGAGTGACAAGCTAGATGTAAGGGCCTTCTGGGAGCAAGTAAACAGTGCAGAGGCACACATACATCATCACAGTCTGAAGAAAATGTTGCAGCCAGGAGTGACCCTGAGACCTGACTGATGCTTAACAGTCAGGGGATATGCTGAGACAGCAGTCTGTCAATCTTTCCACAAGGGACTGTGATAAACATTCTGGGTGTTTTTTGTTGGCACAGGAGCGGAGCAAAGATGGGGCTATGAAGCTGAAACTAAGACTACCAGACTACCAGTCAGGGGATGGACGATACAGACTCACAATCAGACTGTTGCTGGTGCTACTGAAAGTAGAACTCTGCGCTTGATGTTGAAGATAAGGATGGAATGTCCCGAGGGCTGTGGTACCAGTTCTCACCTCAAAACTCAAACAAAACCAAAGCAACCAGTCCAGGTCTGATAGTTATACAGCCCTATCAATCGATACAACCCCAAGAGGAAAGATATCTCAAGATGTTAAAATAACTATAGCGCTAAATACATTTTCCCTTTTCTACTTTTTCCTCAACAGAGCTAGGCTCTCAACTAACTGAGGCCAAGTCTGCTGAGTTGAGTTGAGTCAAGAATTGACATCACAGCACTCGGAGCATCCCATGCATGCTCCGTCCTCATCTTCAGCAGCCAGCACAGAGTTCCAATACCGATCACAATCTGGTTATATGTCCGTCTTGCCTTTCCCCTGAGTATAGTGAGTCGGCCAGACCCTCTGGTTACATCCATGTGCCTCATTTTCTCCAGGCCATAATAATCTTGTTTCTTACTGATTCCGTTGCTTGCTCCTAATGGGAACTTGACCACATCTGCCTTGTCGTGTATCAGTTCAGTGGTGCAGATCCAGCCAATCTGTCTGCCTCTTCATTACCCACTATGCTGGCATGGAGAAAAGATCTAAAGTATGCTCACTACTCGTGACCTTTCCACTGAAGCTTGCCACTCTGCTCAAAGCATCCCTGTCTTCACCTTTCTAAGCATGCTTTCAGAGTCTGTTACAATTATGACGTGTGTGCATCTTGTTTTTTCACCACCGAAAAGCTTCAGTTACCGCTTCCACCTCCATTCTTATGCTAGATGTTGTGATGTCATACTCAAGGCTGTACTGCACTAAAGATTTTCCATTGGCTTCCACTATGAACCCCCAGGCACTTCTCTTTCCTCACAACACCAAACCATCTGTATAGATAATCAGATCACCAAGTCATCATGTTTGATAGTAATTGAGTTGAGTTGATTCAAGAACCCATATCACAGCACTCAGGGCATTCCCATAAGGGCTCCGTCCCCATCTTCAGCAGCCAGTGAAGAGTTCAGATACTAATGGTACCAGTAGCATTCTGATTACACGTCCGTCTTGCCTTTCTCTGAGCCTCGAGCATCTGCCAGAACTTCTCGTCACTCCCCGCTGCATCAGTCTCACCAGACTGTGGTGATCCATCTGCTCCTCTAAACTGTACACGCTCTCCTAGGGCACTAACCACATCTGTCTTAACGTGCATGAGTATTCCATCAAGCCACTGGCGGCAGCTCACACCTGACATCACAGTAAAGGGCCTTTTTGATGCCTGTGGGTCATCAGCTATGTGATGTTAGACTCATTAAAGATCAATAGGTACTCCGCAGGTGATGTGGTTAACATCATGTCAGCCGCCTTTACTTCCTATTTTTAGCTGGGTTGACCTGGGAGCAAAAGTTAGTATGCCTCGCTGCAGATTAAAATCCAAGACTCTGGCAAGCAAGTGAATGTATAGTCACTTCGCGACCAGGACTTTTAAAATCTGTTTTCCAATCATATCTACTAGTCTTAACCAATTATACCAATAGATAAAAATTATAAATTAAATAATTCAGAAAGTAAATTTTGTAGTTTCATTTTAGGAAGTGGTCTTAAATGTAAAACAAAAAAGTTTCCCTCTTCTCATAACATGACCAAAAAATGATAACTCTCTCTCTGATGTTTGTGATAAGGTGTCGTTGAGCCCTGCCTCTTTCAAAACGGCTGGGTTGCTCATTTTAGATGTCAAAAGGAATTATAAAGATGTTTCTGTAAAACCACATCACAACGGCTTCAAGATGTTGTTCAGTTTTCTTTTTACTTGTCCAGGGTTTACAGCCATATGTTGAAACTGGCTCTACTTAACATGTGAGAATTCTTTTCCTAATCTCTAATGATACGGATTTATTGCATAAAATGTACTTCATTTTACTCTATGAAGAGACTAATTTTATGTGGTGTTATATGACTTATGTGAAAGTATTACATTTACAATTTTGTTTTTGTTATTACTGCTTCTACTGTGCAGCAGCCATGCCATTGTAAGACCACACACACAAAAAGTAATTAATCATAACTCCAAAACATTCTGAGGGAAGCTGTCCTTATTTTGTTATACATATAATCAATGCAGTTTTAAATATACATATCTGACAAACATTGAATAGCCACAATTAGCCAGTTCTGTCAAATGCATGCACGCGCAAAATCCAAGTCAATAGTTCAGAAACGAACAACCAGGACTTTCTGTCAGTTTACATTAAGTGAACAAACAAACTTGGGAACAGAAGAAGAAAAAAACCACTATGGGACATGTATAACCTATTATCTCTGTACTGAACAGATTCCAGAAAATTGTCTTTGTCAGTTTTGGTCAAGGTTACAACTTCCCTGAAATCAGGTCACCCAATATTTGCTCAGTTCTTGTGACTGTGAAAGTCAAAATGAAAGTTGCTAGAGGTACCAAAGCTAACAGTCCGTCACCAGAAATGCAGTTTGCCATTGATGGAAGTACTCGGTTACAATAAGTGGGCTATGGACACGTAAAATTATTACATAAGATAATTCACCAGCTGATAGAACATGTATAATTGCCCTCTCTTAGAGGAGCTGTGAGGCAAGGCTCCACACAGTAGACCTTACAACTAAGCATTTTGGGAAATCTAAGAAACCTTGAGTTGACATCCCAGTTTAGGGCTAATAGTGGATTACCTCTTTGAGTCCCAAGGAACGCATAATACGTTCATAGATTCCTACCTAGAGGCCAAATGAAGAACGCATGATGCGCCGATTTTACGCCTCTTTTGACTACCCCTTGGGCCTGTGATCCTAAACCCCCTGGGACTCAAAAGAGTTAAGTGTATGATCAGAGACTCTTGACAAATAAATTTCTGATAAAATTAGTGCTACTGTTGTTTTTCTATAAATGTTTAAATAACTCCAGCAGACCTCATACATATCCTTATCACTTAATATTGCTTTCCCACATTTTGCAGAAAATAACATCTTATGTGCAGCATATTATAAACAATCTATATGTTTTGAAACATTACCACCACAGCGATACAGAGGTCATTGGCTAACAGAGGACTGGAATGGAATAAAGTCAGCAACAAAAAACTGCTGATAGAAAAGTCTGGTGATCTCTCAAGTCCAGTGTAGAAGAGAATCGATTAGGAAAGTTAACCCTATCAGTCACACATCGCTGTTGCTTTAACTCTGCCAATCCAAACATTTATTTCAAACCAATAAACTGTCGGCTCTAAATAATAAATATGTCCTATCTCTACAATGGAGATTGGTTGCAGTCGTTAGAACATCCACCATCTTTGCGAATATTACATTGTGCCGGTGCCGAGATTGGTTAGTCTTCAGAACATCCACTGTCTTTGGGAAAATTATGTTATGTCCTTTTCTAAACCATCCACGGTGAAAATTGTCCCCATTGAGGCCTGTAAAAGTATTCACTGAACTCAAAATGTGTTCAAATAACAATCATTTGGAATAGATATTCAGAGTTAAAATAACACTTAAAACAGAGGACAAAGAAAACAAATTAATTGCAACAAGAATTTTTAAAAAATATGAGGATTGCATAAAGAGATATTTCTATGGGTTTGTGACAACATAATGCCACCAAGCTGTTTGCTTAACCCTGCTTTAAAAAAAAAAAAAAAAAAAAATTAACACTTGAAAACCGCTAACCTTGAAACTTTTCAAGTATACAGTCACACAAAGAGAAAATCAAATTCAGGGTTATGCTAAGTTAAATACTACAGTATTTATTCATACTGACAATAGTTACTGCATATATTTCACATATAAGACAACCATATGTTCAAATATAGGTAAGTTTATTTTATTTTCCTTCTTTTCCTTTGTTCCATTTCAGTAGTGTCTTTGTGAAGTTTTTACATGCAATGGGTATTGCACCAGGTTCACGCTGGCGAACAATGCATCGCTGAATGTAATTATAAGTGTTCTCTATGGTCTTAGGGTACTCCATGTTGAATACCCAGTAACTAGAATAGAGAGATGCAAATGCAATTGTAAATTCCTCAAACTCCTGGACAATTGTATTCTCTGCAATAAGAAAGAATTCATCTGTCCGAAAAATATTACCACGAGCCACCAAAGTGGGAACAATTTTACCCTGAGCTACCACCTCTTCATCTTCTCCAATCTCCAGAACCATTTCTACAAAATTTTCACCGAAATGCAACGGCAGCAAACAAAGAGCAGTAACCATATCCCAATATTGTTTTAATGTGTCGTTCTCTTGCTTGGCTTGTTCCCATCGAGCTAAGACTGGTGCTGCCTCTTTTCTATGCTTAGCCAGCTCTATAACTGCTGTAGCATGGCGCACACAAAACTCTTGGATTTTCTGGTCTATATCAATTTTAGTGATGCGCTGAAATTCTAGCAGGAGTTGTTTGCCTGTGAAAAGGTCTGGATACAGTTCTTTCAGTTCTGGGATGGTCGGCATTTGCTTAGTCACAACATTCCTCCTCTGCTCAAATGTTTTGTCCATGAGCTCAAAGATCTGCTCAGGAGTTTTGCCACGTCCTTTAGCAGTATTTGAAGTGTGGGCAAGTTTGGCTTTCTTTTCTGGTTTTTCAAGCTCTTCTCCATCTTCTAACTGATGCTTGTTATTGTTGAGTCTTCCGTCTTTAGAGTTTTTGTTTGGTACAATCTTGGATGGTGCTGATTCTAGACTGGGATTGACTGTGTCATGGTTTGTAGAGGTTCCAATCACTTTCACTGGTTCAGGAGAGGTTTTTGCTTGCCCATTGTTACTGTCTATTGCTGACAATGGTTCCACATTGGATGAAGGTTTCAAACCACTTTCAGTGTGGTTACTGGTTTCAGCTGCTTTTTCTATTTCTTTGCTGTCAGAAGTGTTGATGGCTGAAGGTTTGTCAACCAAAGTTTCAGTGGGGGATAAAGTTTTTCCAGCTGGGCTTGAGCTGGCCTGATCTGTGGACACTGTTTCACCCAAAGAACTCCCAGCTGTAGTCTTCGCTGCAGTTGTTGAAGAGCTTGGAAGCTGATGAGCTGCATCCACATTTCCTGTGTCGCAAGTAACAGATGACACAACTGTGGCATTTACCAGTACATCAGAGGAGGCATCGGTTGTTTGACTTTTAGGAATGGCATTGGAGACAGGTAATACTGATGGTTCTAAAGGTTTAGCTACTACATCTGCATCTATGTTATTTGGTGCCTCGATAGTAATGGATGATTGAAAACATGGCTTCTGCTGACTGGCTTTTTCTGAGCCAGATTTCTCTGCATGTGTCAGCTGAACATCTTGAGGGCCAAATGCAGGGACACCAATGCTGCTGGCCATGTCAAAAATGGAGAAGTTATCACAGAATTTCTGAAATATTCATCAACAAAATGGTTAACATCTGCACGTAAAAGACTGTTGAGTATCATTTGAAAAAAAAAAAAAAACATTCCTAAATCATTCAGCAGGTCCTTTACAGAAATTTATTCTTATCATGGCATGTCTCAGTCTCTTGGGAGGCAAAGACTTCCACAGGCCATATTTTGCCCATCAGCCGCCAGTTGACTAGCCCTGGCCTAAACTTTTTGGCATAGCACATGATGTTGATTAAAATATATGCTGGGTTAGTTTTCGCAATTAAAAAAAACCCTGTAAAAAGGGTCAAATAATACCTCTTATTCCAAGTGTTTAGCCCCCCCCCCCCTCCCCGGTTTGGGCTTAATCGTGGGGAAAAACACAGATGCACTCAAAGTGGGGAAAAACACAGATGCACTCAAAGTGGGGAAAAACACAGATGCACTCAAAGTGGGGAAAAACACAGATGCACTCAAAGTGGGGAAAAACACAGATGCACTCAAAGTGGGGAAAAACAGATGCACTCAAAGTGGGGAAAAACACAGATGCACTCAAAGTGGGGGAAAAAACACAGATGCACTCAAAGTGGGGAAAAACACAGATGCACTCAAAGTGGGGAAAAACACAGATGCACTCAAAGTGGGGAAAAACAGATGCACTCAAAGTGGGGAAAAACACAGATGCACTCAAAGTGGGGAAAAACACAGATGCACTCAAAGTGGGGAAAAACACAGATGCACTCAAAGTGGGGAAAAACACAGATGCACTCAAAGTGGGGAAAAACACAGATGCACTCAAACTTCGAAGGATGACCCCAATTAGTTGACCCCCTACAACATGCTTGTTAGAGAGGCAGTGGGTTTGTTCTTGTTCAGCCCCCCCCCCCCCCTTTCCCCCCAGGACACCAGAAAATTTAACATTTGAGCTAAATTTTCAAGTTTACTGCTGGTTTTAATTAGCTTTTATTCTAGATTCCCTTACGCTATAACTTCAAGTCCTAAATACATCACAAGAAAAAGTTAATGTAACACAGAAATCTGCATATGTTTTTTTTTCCTCCCCATTATAAATATATTTTTATCGATAGGCTAATCACTAAGTAAACAAACTGCTATTAGATTAGTTCCAAAAATTGTTAAAATATTAAAAGTTAACTCTTTGAGTCCCAGGGGGTTTAGCATCACAGGCCCAGGGGGTAGTAAAGAAAGTAATAAAATCTGCGCATCATGCGTTCATTGGGCTTCTAGGTAGGAACCTATGAACGTATGATGCGTTCCTTGGGACTCAAAGAGTTAACAAAGCTGAACAAAACTCACCTACTTCAGCACTACAACTATAGACCCATCATGTACAATTAGTATTAGTTTAATCTTCATGGCTATGAAAAAGCATCTTTCTTGAGCAGTATTAATGATGCATTCCCATTTAAGCTTTGGTTTGTTTACTTCCCACAGGAAGTTGCAATAAGGATGTCAAAATGTCTTGACAAGCTCATTAAGTGAAACAGGATACTAGATCCTACTATTCTCTATTTGTGTGATAGTGGTGGGTTTTACCAATACAAGATATGACTAATTACTGGTGTGGAAAAACTGTTTGACAGTTTTCAGTTACTAGCGTGGAAATGTCTAAACATGTGTTTCATCCAATAGGAACAAATTGTGTTAACTCTTTCTATAACAACAAAAATTCCCATTGCTATGAGCTTAAGATTAATATTTTCTAATTAGCGATTAATAATTTTGCTATTAGATTTGATTGTTAAAATTATAATAGATAAATATCATAAATATTTATGATCTGAAAAGACAATAAATTATACATAAGTAAAAAAAAAAAAGTAAAGGACCCTTTTCCACGCCTTTAGGTGTGTAGGGCATATAGGGCTAGACCTATATTTGTATAGACCAATTTGACTAAGATGAGTGATGTGGTCAGCATCGCACCGGTCGCCTCTACTTCCCGGGACTGCACCCGGTATCCACTGAAGGCTGGGTCTACTTGGGAGCCAAGGTAATTTCTGAAAAATAGTCCGGCTCCAGGGAGCAAACCCACCCCCTTCCAACCAGTGGCAAGTGTCTAGCCGCTCTGCCACAGGGACTCCCAATTATACATATAGTACACCCTAATTAAAATATATAAGCAATAGTTAAAAAAGTGTTATATTAAGCTTGTCATATCGGTATCAAGCATGGTCAAAAAAAGACATGAATAATGCGCTTTCTGAGTCTGTGGGTGGATGTCAAAAACTGTGTAGAGAATTCAATTATCACCTCTAAAAAGCAAAAACAAGCCATAACAATAACAGTAGTGTCTAGAGTTTAATTGAGTTTGAGTCAAGAAATGACATCACAGTGCTTGCAGCATTCCCATGTGCACTTCGTCCTTATCTTCAGCAACCAGTGCAGAGTTCCATTACTAATTGTACTGATTGTAATCTGGTTATACATCCATATTGCCTTTTCTCTGAGTGTGGCAGCAACAAAATATCCAGTCGAGTCAGTCACATGTCAATTGCTTGCTTCTGGCTACTTCATTTGCGCTTTTGCGGTGACTATGGCTACCGCCACGTGGCCCTCACGCTCGTTCGGCATGGGTTGGGGCTAAACTAGATGGCTAGGACTCACGAGCAAGGCTGCAGGAGATGCGGAAGCTGCTCCTCGTGAGTCTAAGCCATCTAGTTTAGCCCCAATCCACGCCGAGTTGGCAATTGTTGGTGGAAAACCGCCGGAAGACCGCAAATTAAGTAGCCGGAAGCGCGCAATTGACTCGTGACTGTGGCTCGACTGGATATTTTGCAGCCGCCATCTTTGCCGACCATTAGTTGGAGGATAGCCAAAAAATGATATGATGACTTTTCACTTTGGCTCTGAGGTCACCATCAAACTAGCCTTAAACTGGTACCAGCTATAGTTGTTGACCACATCAAACATTGAGTGCTGACTGGTCTATAAAATATAGATCTAGACCTAGTATACAGTATTAGTATTACTATTACAGACTATATGCCCAATCTAATACTTAAAGCACTTAAGGCGTGGAAAGGAAACGAAACTGAAACAGAAAAAAAGGATCCCACACAATTATAATTTAATTATAAAAAATATAAGGATAGTGTTCTAATTATAACACAGCTAAAGCCCCTTGTAACTATCTTAGCAATATTATAAATAAGTAAGACTTTGCAGGATCATTTTTCAATGCTAGCATCTACATGAGACAGAAACGATTCTATATCACAAAACAACTCTGACTACGGACCCCATGCAGCGTGACCACAACACTCAGCAGTCAGCAATGACCGCTCCCTTCATGTCGTCCAATATGAAAATTATCACTATTATTATTATATAGTCATGGCGGACTTCGAATTCTCGCCCCGGTGTAGTTAGTATTTATCCACATTTGTTATTATCTAGAACATACTATTTAAATTTTTCAGTAGCTGTTTCATAATTGAAAAGTAAAATAAAGCATATCATTTGAGTCACTACTACATTGCCAACACGCGGGCCGTGCAAATTGCAAATAAATGTGTGACACAACTGATGAACGGCAACTAATCTGGTCAACCGAACCACATGCAAGATCGCTGATTTTGTAGAACACTGAATAATAATACTGACTAAATACGCTGCAAAGCAGACAGAAAAACAAGAATGCAAAAAAATTACTGTGATTGATATTTTGCGTCTAACTGTCGGTGCTAAAAAGGAAATAAAAGTTACCTTCAAGCATAACAGTGGAATATATCACTCGAATACCTGCAACAAGTCGGAGCAGCCTCGGTCAATATCGTGAACCGGATGTTGAAATAACGAGGGTTTAGCTGGGGCGGCTCCTTGTATTGGAAAATGAAGGGCTTTTTCTGGGTATACCCAGGGATTTTTGGTTTTTGTTTTGGCCTTTCCTTCTTTACTCTTTCAATATCAATCAAGTGATTAGAAAGTGCATAGAAAATCTAACTGTATAACTTTCCTTGATAAGCGTCATTTGCTGTAATAACTTATTGTTACCGAATCGTTCCTGCAGTTACTTCTGTCTTATAGTGTTATTTCTTAAACCCTTATGACCCAAACATTGACTTTTTGTGTGCAGTAAAACTCCTGGGTGATAGAATGAGAAGCGGTTGCTAGCTGGGACTTTAACATGTCTTTTTTTTTAAAGCTGCTGGTACTCACTATAAAGTTATATTACATAGCCCTGAAAAAAAAAATAATGCTCTAAAAAGAAAAACGCATGTCCTAATACTTCGTTCAGCTATAACTGGTCTAAAACGAAAGTTAGCTGCATGTGCTTTCTGAAGTTTCACGTTACTTTTTGAGCAGTGCGTTAACTGTAACATTTTGAAATTACTAGTTATACTTTTATTTTATTACAACTTGGCTCGTAGTGTTGGCAAATTTCTATGTATTTAACAAAAAATATAAAGGGCCCTTAATACTGTGCCTCGTCCCCATTTAATGTTGGGTCCACATGCATGCCAATGTTATTTTTAAAGGAAGTGCGGCTCCATCAAGACCTGAACCAACAAGCGAGCGTCTAACCGCGCATGACTATTCAACTAATTGACTTAGGTTTCGACGTTTTAAAAAGGGAGATTAGTTAGTTAGTTAGTTAGTTAGTTAGCTAGTTAGTTAGTTAGTTAGTTAGTTAGTTAGTTAGTTAGTTAGTTAGTTAGTTAGTTAGTTAGTTAGTTAGTTAGTTAGTTAGTTAGTTAGTTAGTTAGTTAGTTGGGTTATCCTCATTGCACTCCGGACATGTCCATAGGTGCTCAGATCCTCCCCTCAGTATGAACCCCAACGTCCGATGGGTAATAGTACCAGTTCTATGTTGATTAACAAGTCTTCTGGCGTGTCTGGTGTGCGTCTTGTTTGTTGCTGTACCGATCTTAATTCCTAAGTCTGCCATTCTGGAGAGTGATGTTGATTCACTGCCACCAAAGTCCTCTATCCTTCCCATTTCTCTGAGGGCATTGATAATAT